TGATGTGTGGTGAGTAAGTCTGGTATTGTTAATCCCATATAACAGTGTACATCACATGGACATATCTTTCAGTAAGTATGTATTAAACACCCTCTTTTGAGGTTTTGCCACATTTCATTTTAAGAAACTAGATTTACATGTTTAAAAGCTGTAACCCATAAGCATTTCAATCAATAGAAGTAGAGGATTGTGATACATGTCACTCTGTATTATAGATTTTTTTGAAATATAAGATTTCCATCTTATTTTTTAAAATTAACTTTTCTAGAATGGTCAGAGATTAAAGTTGTGGACACCTGTAACACATTGGAGGCTAACTGAGACCTGGCACAATTATGATTGCCTTGTTCCATTACAATTATGCTCATTATTGTGTAACATTACTGCTGTGAAGGCATATATCCTACTTTGGGGATACTTTGGGGAATTTAAATCAATGTTGAGTTCCAAACTTCCTGCATTTCTTTTTAGCACAAATTTCGCCTAATGGGTTTGATTATGGTTCCATAATTTCTCTTTTCGCCTCCGTGCTTGTTCTGCTTGCAGCAATGAGTCACACTCAACACGTTCAGGCATCCGTCTTTATTTTAATCTGGGAGTAGAAACACAGTGGGGGACAAAAAAGCGAGACAATATTCTACTTTTCTCTTAGTTTGATGATGTATGTAATAAATAAAATGCAAAGAATAAATATCATGTTTCAAACTAAATATGAGCTGTATCAGAGACAATACACAGCAAAAACCTACATCCTGCTGTAGTCCCACCTGGTGGGTAATATGAGTACATTAAATTTCCATAAATATGTTTGCTCAAAGAGCTTTACAGCCAAATTATCAGTTTTTTTTTGCAGGCCATAATATAAACATACATTATTATTTTATTAAGCCTTATTAAACTAATAATTTATATGGCAATAATATTATTAAAATTGGGCACATCCTCCTCATTTTCGTGAGTCGCCGAAATCTCACTCTATAATGAAGCACAAACACGAGAAAAGCAAGAACATTTCAAAACACATCAGGGATTGTTATAAAAAACACAATAATTTATTTGTGATCATGAAAGTACAAAAACAGTGCAACATTATGAAAATCTGAATATCAAATAAAGTTGAAAGCATGAGGTTCAAACACACAACAGAACACTGAATGAGGTTTGAAACCCTAGCTGTGGCTTGCAAATGTACAAGCACTGGCTGGCTTTAACTCTGGAAGTGTCAAAGATACCTTAACATGATGGTCTACAGTTCAATTCACTGACATGTTTATATAAAAACAAAAAATAAATCTACAGAAATTCAAAGAATACAGCTAGCTGCCTGAACAAAGTTTCAATAGAAACTAAGGTTCACACTTTAATACTTGCAAAATGCCCGTTTACCAAGATGAAGCACAATGGTTAGGCTAAAAGAAAAATGTTCCAAGTACCATAAACTTCAGGTCCTTTACAGTAGGAACAAAAGGCTACATTATGACAAAGTCCATCCTTACACTTCAAAAGGCATCACATATTTGAAGTTCTAAGGCCTTTCTGTGAGTTTTTTTCTAACCACTGAGACATTCAACATTCCTCTATGAGCAGCCCTTCAGAAGAATACAGTTTCTTTTTAATCACGCGGAACCCAGTGCTAAGTTTTAGAGCTTGTCTGAGAGCTGGAGTGGAAGGAGATTTGGAGCTGAACAGTCCCTGGATTTTAGGCCACAGCCCACCCGACTCTAGCCTCAGCACCAGAGTGAGCTGAAATGTGGGGACGAGATAAGGATCCACGGAGAGCTGTCCTATGCTCTCGCAGGCGGCCCCTTGCTCCACGCAGAGGTCGATGAGAGCTCCTCTTAAACCGCAGGGTTCGGTAGCTGCCAGGTGGATGAGCTCCTCTCCGATATGCTCCAGAAGTTTCTCTGGAATGAGCAGCTTGGTGCATCTCAGCGCACAGTCTGAGTCTTTGGCCTCCCTTAAGCTTCGTGCAATAAGGTCCACTACTTCTTTCAGGATCGCTTCCTCCATTGGGTCAAAGAAAAGGTCATCATTCACTGGACACAGATCGCACAGATCACAGCCTGCAAAGGAAAAGCAGGGTGTGAGTACTTTCAAGCTGTGTAAGAAATACCTCCAATAGGATTTCAAGAGATTTGGAAGGAATTGCTCACCTGAGTCTGAAAGATCACTCCTGCTGCCATTATTGGACCCTGATTCAATGCTGCTGTCGTTCGTGCTGAAATCAGCCAGTCTTTGAACCAGTTTTCCCCAGGACAGTCTTCTGGGACTGCTGTCCACTGGGGACGGAGGTATACTTCCAGCCTCTATGGATGCAAAGACTTCAGGCATGTTTGTCCTCTTTCAGTGTTCAACAGATGCGTGTCAGATTTCAACTGTTTCATAGGGAGAAACAAATACCACAAATTAACATAATACTTCAACCACTTTCCCCCCGCCCCCCTCCAAAAAAAATTAAAAAATTACAAAAATAAGTAAAAGAGATTTTAAAAAAATGCCATCTTAATTAGAGTAAAGAAATGCAGACGTCTAAAGCTAGCAACAGCAATACTTAAACAGCTTAAGCTAGTCAAATTAGCTCTAATTTCAGCAAAACTAACAAATATTAATCCTTACAGTTTTGAAATAAAACTGTTAAAGTGCGTAGTCGTTTTAGTTGACAAAAAATGGATGGTTATTGTCTAGAAACTTCCACCGTCCACTCCTCCTTCCCGTTCTTTCAGCAGCTGCCGAGCTCCGCAGTCTCTTTACCCCCGCAACAATGCTTATATATGCCCTGCACGAGGCCACGCCCATTTCCCCCCAGCCACCCAATCAAAAAGAGGGGCACGGCTTGTGAGCTGTATCTTGCCTGGTAACATGCCAGTAGAGAAGAAAGACAAACAGGAGGAGAAAGAGGTTTTGAGGGAGGGGTGGCTTCAACCCCACTGTAGTGGAAATGTACAGGGACTTGTCTGGGCTTGGAACCTTCATATAGCGGTTCTTTTGTATAGCATCCTCAATAGTCCTCCGTATGTTGTTTTTTTGCTGTTGTTGTTTGGTGCATTGGCAGCCATAAAAGCAAAGGATAAAGTCCATGCAGACCTGCCAAAGGCTGGTTCAGGGCTGCAGTGTACAGTACATTACGTCACCTGTTTTTCTCTCAAGCATTACATCAGAATTTTTATCTGACCCGCAGCGATGCAAACACGCAGTAAGCTGCATGATATAAATGTGAACATAAATTAAAAGTAACATATTAAAGAGACCATTTATTCACCTCATCAGTAAGCATTATCGGTATATTTATTCTCATACTAAAGTGTTGATATTCTCACACATTTGTTTCAGATCTTCAAACCAATAAGACAAAAGGAACCAATGTAAGTATAAAAGATAGTTTTCAAATTGACTTTATTTATGAAGAGAAAAACTATCCAACCTGGCTGAGTGTCATAAGGTGATTATTTTTCTTTCTGAAGTCATATATTAACTATGATTACCACTAAGACATGATTACTATTAGATCTGTGTAATGCAGATATAACTTTTAGATGCTAACAACATGAAGTAGATTTAAAGGCAAAAAGCAGCACATGCCTCTGAATTCTGGTAACCAGGCTACTAGTTTGCGGCTACTGATTGATTCAGGAGCCGATACAAAACACCCAGAACATCCAAAGCAAATCTCATTTGTGTTAGTAAGTGTTCATCGTTCAACAATAAAAAGAAACTGTGCAAAAATGGCAGTGCAACAATAATTTATGGAGCCAGGAAACGCTGTAAAACCAGAAAGTCCCAAGGGAGAATTTCTATCAATCAGTTTGTGATCTTAAAGTCGAACGTACTTGGGATAGAATTCAAAACACAACAAGCCCACCTCTGAATGAGTCACAAATAACAACCTCAAAAAAGTTATGTTATGCTCTAGCCAAAGTATAAACTTGATTTTATGGAGATACTGTACCTATCCTGCCCAGGGCATTCATGTTCAAATACATCCTAATGTTTGAATTCAAACTATTCCGCCAAGAGAATTATACGAAGGTTCTTCCAAAAGAGTATAAAAAAACTTTTTAAAAACTCAGTTGCAATCAGGTTCATGGGACAATTACTTTGCCACAGATAGCTTCATTCCCCTCAGTAGATATCATAATCACTTGAAAATTGCCATTTATTCAGGTTAGCTGTGATATTAAATGTTTGACTTTTCTGAACATTTAAGTAAAGAAGTGAAAACAGAAGAAATCTTGAGGACTGAAACCCCAGCAACACTGTTGGACCAGATCATAAAAAGCTGAAATGTGGGAGAAATTGATATGGGTGTAGAAATGTGTGCATGAACACATACAAGCAACACAGAATTAAGAATTAGGCGTAAAAAAAGAGGCTGTGTAGCCTCAGTGCAAAAATAATTGTGATTGTGTCACTCATGGGTGAGGAAGCTGTACATATGCAGTACAGTTAGATCATAGAGTTCTGGATAACCGCCAGTCTTATTCTATATTGTTCCACGTGCGTAGGCGTGGAATAACGTGTACTTTGCAAGAGAGGAAGTGAAAGTCACATGTAGGCACATGGTGTTCTGAAGTAGATGTTTTGAATTAATAAGCAAAGCCAAAAATGTACACGCAAAAAAAGTTACGTTTTCATACTTGAATAATGTGAAGTGTATAAAGAGACGAAGAAAACTATACAGACAACATCTGTAAGAATGTTCTAGATCAAGCTCCTTGTAGATGAAATCTAACCACCAGCTGGGGGAGTGTCCTGTACTGGCCAGGGCCGGGCCAAAGGACTGTATGTTCTGTGCATTCCTGGCCTTCGTTTGGATGAAAACAACCGCTTGGAGTGATCTGCGTGTGCTTTCTCGCTGTAAACACAGAAAGCTGCACAAAAACAACAGCAGTACGTCAAACTTCGGCATGTTCGTGAAGCAGGAAATCACAAGCAAATAAGTTACCAGATGAGGCAGAGCTTAAAACTCAGTGAAAAGGATTAATAAAAACAAACTACACACCGAGCATGTCAAGAATCAGTTTTATTAGTCTAAATGAGATGAAAGACATTTTATGACTATTAAATAATATTACAAGTTGAGTAGTTATAATATTAAGCTGAAAGGTATTTTAGTTTAGATGATGCACATTATTGAAAATAAGTTTAAAAAAGGTAAACACAAAATTGTGCAAGATATAAAATAAAAACATCTTACGTTCAACATGTTGAAATAACCTTTAACTCTATGTTACAGTGTAAACTCTTACAGAAAAAAAGCATCACATGTCAGAATAAAACATTTCCTTTTGTCTTCATTCCATTTGGCTGATTTATTCCACAAAAGGCATCCGAATGCCTTTGACTAGGACGGTGTGAATCCTAGTAGTTGCTCTATTGGTTTGTAACGCCACTCGTCTGCTTCTAGCTCTTCCACAAGGCTCGCAAGTTTCTCCATCCTCGATGCTTGTTGATCTGAAAGAACAAACAGGTTACTTTATTGTCATATCAAGTTTTATTAGGTTCATCTGAAAGGAACTCAAAAGTAGTGTGTGAAACAGGTGGAAAATAGGGCTGTTGCCACATTAGACCAAAAGTTAAGGCTTGAAAATTTTATGCCCACTGTTTTGACTCATGTTAGTTGAATACAAATATATGTCACATTTTTCAAAGTTCTTTGTACAAGAAAGTAGAAAACAAACACGTAAAACATTTTCTTCCATTTAATAATTGTGCACTCTAGTTTGAGACGGACCCAAACAGGAACATAGATGTTTGTGGTTTTAATAAGTCAAAATATGGAAATATAAAAACATTTAAGGAGTATGAGCCAGGGCACCGTCTTACCTTGTTTAACTTGCTTTAGCGTGGAGGCAACTTGGTAGCTGAACACAGACTCACATAAAAATCTGTCAGAGCCATCTGAAAAAAGAAATAGCATTAATAAGGGGCAGCATGGTCAAAATACATATTTTAAGGGTTTTGTGATAAATAAGAATCTGGACTGCAGGCAGTTCAGTACTACCACCCCACACACAGCCATTGCACTTGCACTGTCACATCATCTGCACTTTACCATAATTGGACCTGCTGCTTCTTCTTTGGTGTGGTTGAGTGCCTTTAGTTAATTTTAGTTGTATGTATTATTATTATTGTGTGTTTGTTTATTTAATATTGTATATTTTGACTTTTTGCACGGGAGTTGCAATAGGAATTTCGTTGAATCCTGTTCAATGACAATAAATGCTATTCTATTCTATTCTATTCTATTCTAAGTTACATAACCTAAGGCCAGGGCACTGATGCAATTCTAAAACCATGAGAACTTTGCTTTTGGGCGCTTTTCTGATAATGGTCAAACTAGTCTGTTTTGTATTTGGTCCAGAGGAAACTATGTCCATTTCTTCAAAAGAATTGTAAATCTGATACAAAGATGTCTTTATGTCTTAAACAGCTGAAACACTGACTTAGGTTAAATCTCGACTAAAAATCCACCTGTTTAGAATTGTACTTGAAACATAATCAATTATAAATTAAACAATGGAACTTGACATAATGTCATTTTTGATTGTTAATTCTATGTTGCATAACTTTGTGTTTTTATGTTTGTTATGATGTAAAGCACTTTGAAACGCCTTGCTGCTGAAATGTGCTATGCAAATAAAATTTGATTTGATTATTGTGCAATTTTCAATCCAAGATAAGCTTAGAGAGACTGATAGCTTATCTATCAGTACCTCTATTAATGTGAACTTTTTGGCCAAGTAAACTTTAAAAGTAAATTTGATCACAAGGACAAGGAACCACAAACTACGTCTCTACCAGGTTTGCATACCTGGAGACCGTCAATTTGGTTAATTCTTCTTTGTAAAGCAGATGAAGCTCAACCAGAGAGTGGCTGTAAACATCAATCTTTAAGTCTTGCTACAGAGTCTTACTTGGATTTAGAGTTTTTACCGAGTCGTTCAAGGGGCTGTTCCCTCCATATGGCTTGAGGCAAACTTTCAACAAAACTTCTAGTGGCTTACTTCTTACCACTCCTCTGGATGGGCCAGATTTGTGATGTGCATAACTAGTAGCTGTCCTGTTGACAGATTCTCCCACTTTGCAGCTCTTACAGGGTTACAACAGGTCTCCTTGCTGTATCTCACATTATAGTGCCCTATCCAGTCAAATTTGTAGCTGTGATATACTTTTTCCCCCATTGGATGGATTAATAGTGCTCTCTATCAGAAGCTTAGAATTTGCATGGGTTTTTTTTTAATTGCAAATAAATTCCTGTATCATGTTCCTTGTTCTGTCACATATAGAACAAGGAACATGATACAGAAAAGAGAAACAGCCAGCATGAACATGATACAGGAATATCACGTTCATGAACATCATAAATACAGTAGCAACTTTGTGTTGAGGAAATCCCCATTTTGACTAAAATGTGGAGAAGTGCAAGGAGGTGTCATTTCAGGGACAGCAAAATCAAGCATGTCTTTGTTTTTGGGTGTCTGCTTACAAATGCAACTTTCTCCTCTGCAAATAATCATTTGGAAATTATAATTGTTATGATTTTCCCAGTAGAATGAATCCATCTCGCTGATAATATGAAAATACATTTTCCAAAACAGTGTTTATTTTCCATCAGGATTAGTCCATGCTATCATACAGCTAAAAAAAAACCAAACATACCTTCCATCATTTCCCCTGCTCCTTTAGGATAAGTGTAGAGAACTTTCCTGGGAGGGATGAGCTCTGAGGCGCTGAATCCAGAGCCTGTTACCGAGCTACCGCTTACACCTCCTGCAGAGGAGGACGATGAAGACGCTGCCATTGCCTTAGGAAGCTGCCAAGCACATACCCAAAACATCAGTGAGAACTTTATTCATCACGGCTAATTCTAAAGTGTATGCAGAGCAACAAGGAATCAATCACAGAGTCAGCTAAAATCAGTTTAACCATCTTTATTATGTCTATGATTCTGGCCACATCACAAACGTAAAACCGTTTCCTGTTTAAGTTTCAAAAAATGTATCAGAACAGCTGGTAGGAAAGCAAACTGTAGTAATGGAGCGATTGACCGCTCGACCTAGATATTTCTCCACACAATACGGTCAGCTCAGATGTTCTAAATAGTAAAAACCTTACCGTAATTTTCCAGAATGCTCGGCTTTATTCATACGCAGTTTAGCCCTCGGTGTTTGTTTAGCCGTCTGTTATTTACGTTAAAAAGAAGGTTGCCATTTTAAAAGATGCCACAACAATCCGAATGGTTCATTTCTATAATGTTCCAAGGAGCTCGTGCCACGTACATGTTATGTAGATCTGTAACACACCCTACCGTAAATTAACGGAAAGTGTCGTAACACGACTGAGCGGCTAGCATACGCGAATGACTTGCTGCTTTTAAATTGTAAGCAAAACTTTAAGGTAATCTTCACGAAATTCTAATTGTTTTTCTGTCGCTTTATGTTGGTATTTTAGCAGTTTTAATTTAGGTTTGGTAGCAACAAATGGATGTTCTACGCCCACCGCTGATCAACATAAACGGCAGAATATATCGCAGAAACATAGTTAAAGAAGAACACTATGAAGAAGAAGATTTCTCGTACATGGGGCCATCTGGTTAGTAAACATTTGACAGGTTTAATTATTGTTTGCCGTGTTTCACCCACAAACAAACAAATGTGTATTTTATTGGGACTTTATGTGATAGAACACCAGAACCAGAAAGTACTTTTAAACATGTGCTTTAAATATTATCCAGCTGTAATTGCAGCACAAGTTCCTTCTACATTGTATCAACTCAGGAAGACCAAATACAAATACTTGCCTCAGCTTTATTATCTTGAATGCTATATTTTGTGTTAGTCCCCACATAAAGTGAGTGATCTTAACTAGAACAAATATGAAAAAGTTACCCAGGTATATATATTGTTTTGCAAGAAACTTCACATTTCTACTGTAGTTTGTTTTGCAAAAACCAACTCTGTGTTTGTATGATTGGAGTGAGTGAAGCTCTGGAAGAGGACGAAACCTGTGACAGCCACTGCATTGAACAAACCGATAAGGGATACCGCTGTGCCATTGATGTCCCAAGTGTTCTTTACAAGTAAGCTGTGAACTTGAAAAGAATCAAATTTTTGTGTAAGCATTGGTGTACTGTGCGAATGGTGAGCATGTTTTAATTTTGTTATTGTTATGCAGATATATCATTGGGAAAAAAGGAGAAACTCGAAGACGGCTTGAGTTTGACACCAAAGCCTCAATCAGCATCCCGAAACAAGGAATAGAAGGACAAATCGGTGATGATAAATATCAAATCAGGTCATTCTGAAACTAATTTACCTGCAAAATATCTCCTTCTTATGCATTTCTTTTGCTTTTAGTTGTTACTGCTGCCCAAAAAGCTGCAGTTTCCTCTGCGGTCACTCGAGTCGAAGTCCTTGTGGAGAGTTTTCGAAAGAAACAGCCCTTCACGCACTTCCTGTCTTTGCCTTTGAATGACTCCAAAGTTCAAGAAGGATTCCAGACATTTAAAGATGAGGTGTTGCGACAGTGTTCACAGGTGCTCTTGACAAATGCAAACCAGATTGGGCACCAGTTGAAGTAGTTTTAAATTTTTGCATTGTGTGATAACAAATAAATCATGTGTCACCTACTTTGCAGGATCATGGAGTGGAGGAAACCATCTTTCAAAACCCTGCAAAGCTTCATTTGACAATTGGCACTCTGGCTCTGTTAAATGACACAGAAGTGAGAAAAGCATGTGAACACCTCCAAGAATGCCAAAGTTTTATCAGGTAGAGGCTTAAAAAATTAGTTCATCATGTCATCTTGACACTGTGATAAATTTGGAAACACAAATTTCATATAACAGCAAAATTACTCTTTAAAAGATTAATTAATTAAAGCTCAGACAAATGAGTTCTGATTTAATCCTATTTGTATCTGAAAGTTACACTATAACATGTGTAAATCATTCTGTGATTGAATTGTGCTGTAGAAATAAAAAATAATGCTTAAAAACAGACTAACAGGCATTGGCTGGTATAAACTCTTGGTATGAAAACATTAAAGAAAATGTAAAAACCAAAATGCATATAGTGATCTAATTGGCTTTATTGCAACCGGAAAAGCAAGAGTTAAAATGAAATTGTACAATATATTGGTTATTGTAGCTATATTTGCTGTGTATACATATATTTCTTGTTATTCTGAGTTTAATACAGAGACTTAGGCAAAATATAGTTGAAACACCCAGGATACTCAGTAGTTGTTTTGGTCACTGCAACTTGTTCTTTGGCATCTAATTAATAGGAGATGAAATGGCTTGACATAAAATGTAATCCCTTTGAAACTAATGTCTTAAACCTTTTTATAGATGTTGATTTTGAAAACTTTATTAATTCATTTTTGCATTTCATCAGGGACATCACTGAAGGAAGGTCTCTGCTGTTAGAAGTGACGGGTATAGAGTACATGAACGATGATCCAGCCATGGTGGACGTATTATATGCTAAAGTCAGTGTTAAAGATGGATCTGACAAGTATGTGATCGAAAGAAAAAGTGTTTTCAGTGACCTTCTGTTTTTTTTTTTTAAGTTTTCCCATAACTTTTTCCTCTATAGGTTGCAGATGATTGCAGACCGGCTGCTGGAGCATTTTGTCTCTGTGGGGCTGATGGTCAGGGAGAGGGACAGAGTGAAGCTGCATGGTACTGTCATGAACACACTGTTCAGAAAGGACACTACAGGTAAATATGAGCACCATCTGGTGACAGCTTGATTCTCTCTTGGCCATACACAGCTCTTCATGAAAAAAACAATTATAGAGTGTGTAAATGTGCAAAAAGGTTTGAAATTCATTCTTCTTTCTGTGCATAACTTTTGCCACCACTTTGAAATTTGCCTTGGTTCAGCTGAGACTTCTTTCTTTCTTTTATCCACATTTTAAACTTCTCTCGTCCACTATATTTTTACCTCAATGTTAGTAAAGTATGTTGGATATCTGTGTGAGGTGGATTTTAAAGCTCTGAATTCAGCCGTGTGAATGTACCCCAACAATTTCTTAAATGGGTGCGCACGGTTTGTGCGCCCTTCCACTCAACTTTCCAGAGATGTAGTTAGATATGAGTCTCAGAACATCAGGCTTTTTATTTTCTTTTTTTTTTTACAAAGTCTTTCCCAGAATTAGTTATAACATGTCCATAACATTCAATTGATGTATTTCAAATTGAATGTTATGGACATTCAATTTGACATTCAATTTGAATGTCCATAACATGTAATATAACATGTAATAATGTTACATGTTATAAATGTTACATGTAATATAACATTTTCCAAAAAACTTAATTTGGGGTTTTCATTAGGTGTAAGCATTAATCACCAAAATAGCAGAAACATTTTAAAATAATCCTTTTATTTGCAATGAATCTATAAACGAGCTTGACTTGTTGAACTAAGTTATTGAAATAAATTATCTTTTTTTTTTTTTAAAGATAATTGAATTTATTCAGATGCTCCTGCGTGTAGTTTGTTATTTTAGCTTGATGTGAATCTTAATTCATAAAGACATGTGATTAAAAAAATGTTTGTTCAAGAGTTACTTTTAAGATTTTTGTGTGATTTTTGTTGCCCCAGGCTTTGTGAAAAGCAGTGTTTCATGAGATAATGTCCTCAGGACGTAGATCACATTTTTTCTACTTGATAACAGCTGTGCAGAGGCTTAATAAAATTGGTCATGAATAGAGCAGCACCTTTTCAATAAGCTCAGATGTGTAGAAATAAAGTAGTATTTTCAGGTCTCACATGAGCTTTTCTATTTCATCAGTTAGTATTACAGATATATCCAAATAAAACTGTAAGAACATACACGATAAAGTGACCAAAAATGTTAACCACCTTTGATTTATAAGAAGCATGTTTGTGATTCATCTTAAGTCTTAGGAGGCCTTGGCTAACCATGAACAGGAAAATTATATTTGTCCTTTTTTTCCCAGAACATACTTTTTCAATGTTCCCTTATTATCTTTTGACTCAGATCGAAGCTGCAGTGACCACAAAGCTGAGCCTCAAAAACAATTAGAACAGCTAAATTGCCCAGAGAGGAATCAGGGAGGTACTTCTCTGTTTGGCCTCAGAGCTGTGTACGTGCACAGAACAGTGTGCTGCTTTCCAGCTACGCTCACAATGCTTTCATTCATTTTGCTGATGGATCCCGTCCAGCAGTGGTCCTCACATTCGCACCGGACTGGCCGACAACAACACCGCACAAGCAAAGTGGTTTGCCACTGCTGATCATGTTTACAACCACAATGTACAAAGCTTAGTAGCTGTGTTCTCCTCAGTCCTCAGTTTCGCAATATCATTTAACAAACGAAGTTACCGTGACATTTGCTGGGTACTGTTGGAGCTGCAAGTAAACATGTTTATTGCTTCTCTGAGATAACTTATCAAACTGTTTTTCCTTTTATTGTGTGTTGGTCTGTGGTGTTTTTCCAGTTGAGAACAGGGGTGGAGCAGGAAAACCAGCCACGAGTCAAAGAGAGGCTTTTGATGCCAGGAACATATTAAAGGTTAGACACATTTTACATCCAGATTAATACATACATGTTTGTAATGTAATAAAAAAAAATTCTTGAAGTTATACTAAGTCATGTGGGTGATTACATAAATTCCTGTTTTAAAACCTTTAAAGACATGAACCAGATACGGATGCTGTATCTCAGCACCTGCAGATGTGTTGTACTTTAATGTATTTGGATTCAGAGCATTAAAAGGATTACCGTAACATTTTCTCTGCTTTCAGAGTCCCTTAAGAGCTCGGTAATGAGCAGCTCTGTAAAACCTGCTTTTGTTGTTTTGGCAGAGCAGCTCGTTGCTCTGACTCACTTCTGTCAAGTATTTCAAAATGTTCTCTGATTTAAGGCTCTGAGTGAAATAATACTCCCAGATGTTTGATCGCTTTAAAGGTCACAGTGTACAGCTTATTTATTACCACCTTTTTCCTTCTTGTACCGTTTTCGATGATGTAGAGAAGTATACAGACCCCCTTTACTCTGATTCACCTGAAGAAAAAAAAAATCCAATTTAATCAAGTTTGTTAGAACATAAATGAACAACGGCATCTTGAAGACTAAAGGGCATGGCAGACTGGTCAGGTACAAAGACGTGGAAATGTTTAAAACAGAAATAGATTATAAAACTATTTCCTTTTAATGGTCTAAAAGAGCGCTGTTCAATTCAGGTATGCGTCTGTAAATCCATTGTAACA